TTCGTGAAAATAATTGAATTTTGTAGAAGAATTTTTCTGTTTATAAAAATAATTGAAATCTTGACAAGGATTATTAAAAATTTTTTTTAAAATAATTGAATTTCTGCGAAGAATTTTATTATTTTTAAAAATAATTGAATTTTTGAAATGAATATTCTCATTTATAAAAATAATTGAATTATAAAAAGAATTTTTTTTGAATTCCTGAAAATAATTGAATTTTGTCAAAGAATTTTGCTATTTGCAAAAATATAATTGAAATCCTAAAAGTGTTTTTAAAAAATTGTTGACAATAATTGAATTTCTAAGAAGAGTTTTATTGCTTTTGAAAATAATTGAATTCTTGTGATGAATGTAATTTAATTTTGCAAAAATTTTATTAAAATTCTTTAAAATAATTGAATTCTTGACAAGAATTTTATTATTTATGAAAATAATTGAATGTTGGCAGAGAATTTTATAAAAAAAATTTGTAAATAATTAAATTCTTCTGAGAAAATTGTTATTAAAGTAGTAGCTAAATTGAAAATAATTGAATTTCATCGAAGAATTTCATTATTTGGGTAAAAGAATTGAATGCTTGTAATTTTTTTTTTTTGAAAATATTTTTGAAAATAATTGAATTGTTTCAAAGAATTTTATTAAAATTTTCGAGAATAATTTCTTTTTTTTAATTATTAGCGGATTTGATTTGATAAATTTTATGAAAATAGTAAATATTGAAAATCATTGAATTGCGAAAAACTTTTGAAAATAATTGAAATTTTGCAAAGAATTCTATTAAAATTTTGGAAAATAATTGAATTTTTGGCGAAAAATTTTACTATTTATAAAGATAATTGATTTCTTGACGAGATATTCTTTAAAATTTTTTTAAATAATTGATTTTTTTCGAAGAATTTTGTTACTTTTGAAAATAATTAAATTCTTTTGATGAATATTGTTATTTATGAAAATAATCGAATTTTGTAAAGGATTTTTTTAAAATTCTTAAAAATAATTGAATTTTTGTAAAGAATTTTGTTATTTATCAAGATAATTGAATTAAAAGTTTGGAAATAATTAAATAATATTAAAAAATTCATTCTAGTCAGAATAAGAAAAAAATTTTGAAGGTTTTGTATTATAGAATTCGTGGTAGTTTCATAGTTTATGAGGCAAACAAAAAAGAAAAAAGACACGGAAAATTCATAGTTTTCTTATGAATTCTACAAATTTAATTTTTTCCAGTACTTTTAATAAAAATCCCTGACTTTTCCCTAAATTCCCTGACTTGTGGCAACACTGTCCATCCTTTCTAATGGTTTGGGGAAAAAAATTTGCTTCAACAAATAGAGAGAAAGAGAGAGAGAAAAAAAGTTCATTGGCAACACATGGGAATGAAATCTGACCGAAAGTGTAACTATATAGACAGAGAGTGTTACTGTCTTAATAAAAAAGAAAAAGCTCATAAAATTCATGAAACATCTGGTTCCAAGATTCTCTGTGCTTTCACGATTGGAGAAATTTTTATTGTTTCTAAATTATGCATGCATCTGGACTTACACGCGAATGTGGAATAAAACAGACTTGCAATAATACGAACGACGAGCACATTTGAATTTTTGGAAGTCTTCTCTCTATCTCTGTAATTTTTTTTTCTTTCCTCTCACTATTTTTATCTCGGGTGTAATCTCTCTTTCTCTCTCTCTCTCTCTATCTTTTTCTCGCTCCGTCTGCCTGTCTGTCAGACTCTCGGGCAACTTTTTCAATGCACGCAGTTTTAAAAGCTTTCGCATAATGTAAACTCTTAACCTTTTCTGTAGCAGCATTTGTAAAAGTATATAGAATAGACTTTAAAGAATATACACCGCAAGAACCAACTTTACGACTCAAATAGTTTTCAAGATACTTAAAATTTTTTTCTTTACACTTTGTAATAAACTTTCCGGCCATAATATATTGGCCCATAAGAAATTACACACGATCGAATAATTCTACTAAATCGAAATAAAATATTCGTCTCCCTTTCTTCAATAATATTTTTTTTACAGAAAAAATATGTTACCCTGACTTTTCCCTCAACTCTGAATTTTCTTCAAAAATTTGTTTTTAAAAAAATTTTTTTTTTTTGAACTTTTTTTTTAAATTGCAAATTCTTGGAGGAATAATTATATGATAGTATTACAAGTGAAGTTTAAACTTTCTACATATATATATATATATAGTAAAGTATTTTGAGGAACTAGTTGAAAGGAACTTGTTAACAAGCTCTATATAACTTTGACGTTTCTATATGTATAATGTGCATACAAAATCGCATTAGGAAGTCAAAACTGATACAGCAGAGTGAAAATTCATATATGTAACAAATAACGACAGGTCATGTAATATATGATAAGAAATATCTATATACTGGTTAGTGTACCCCCTTCTCACACGGGGGTTGAAAAAGAATTATTACCACTTCCTACTTCCGTTTTTCTGCAAAACTTGCACATTCTGGGTTCGAATGATAACGTCGTGAACTTTTTGGATGTCTGGTATTCTGACACAGTCAACTTGACGGGAAATGCATCAAAAGGAATTTTTACGATCAAGAAAAATTTCATTTTACGAAAACCCACACACGGATCTTTCCCATTTTTTTCCCGCTGGAGGCGAAAAAAATTAATAGAAAACAATCTCTCTGTTTGAGACAAAAGATTTCAATTTTTATAGTTTCCTCTAAATTTTCTTTAATTGAAAACAAAAGTTTAAAAAATAGATTGTTAATTTCTTCCACCTTTAATTTTGAACAAGCAACAATCTCACTCACTTTTTTAAATAAAATTATCAATTTTAAAAATAATAGAACGTAAAAATTTTTAATAAAAATTTTTTTTTATAATTCAAAATCTTTTAAAATTAGCTAAATTTATCAATATATTTAATTAATTATTAAAAATGATGGATTTTTAGAAGAATTTTAGTTAAAAACAATAAAAACTTGAATTTTGAAGAAGTTACATTTTATTGCAGAAATTCAATTATTTTCAAAAGTAATAAAATTCTTATCGCAAAATTCAATTGTTTTAAGAAATTTACAAAAAAATCTTGACAAAATCCCAAATTTTATCTTTATATAAATAAAAAAATTCTTCTTCAAAATTCAATTATTTTCAAAAACTTTAATAAAATTCATGTCAAAATTTCGACTATTTTCAAAAATTTTCCTCATTTCAATTATTTTTAATATCTACTACTTTAATAAAATTTTCCAAATGAATTCAATTATTTAAACCAAATTTTAATAAAAATTTCACAGGAATTCAATTACTTACCATTGTTTATATAAATTTATTCGCACCAATTCAATTATTTTTAATTTTTTAATGAAGTTTCTCGAATAAATTCAAATATATTCAGAGAATTGAAAAAATAGTTCTGAGAAATTCAATTATTTCGAAAAATTTAAATAAAATTTTTATTTATTATTTTATATATTTAAAATAATTTCGACAAAATTATTACCAAAATTCAGTTAATAAAATTGTAATTTTAATAAAATTTTCCTTTACAATTCAATTATTTTGAATACAATTCTTCATAAGAATTCAATTATTTTCACAAATAAAGCATTTTTATGGGAATTAAATTATTTTAAAAAATTTAAATAATATTCTCCGCAAAAAATCAATTATTTTCATAAATAATAAAAATTTTCTCGCGAAATCAATTATTTAAAAAAAATTTGATAAAATGCTTTCTATAATTTTAAAATTTTCCCAAGATATTAATTATTTTCATAAATAAGAATATTTTTCTCTATTCAATTATTTTCAAAAATGTAATTTTTCACAGGAATTCAATTCTTTAAAAAAATTTTTATTAAAATTCGTTGCAAGAATTTAATTATTTTCATAAATAATAAAATTCTTGTCAAGAATTCAATTACGTTCAGGAATTTTATTAAAAAATCTTTTCAAAATTCAATTTTTTTTTATAAATAAAAATATTCATCCCAAAAATTAAATTATTTTTAATAATAATACAATTCTTCGCTGAAATTCAATTATTTTCAAAACTTTTAAAGAAATTCTCGTCATGATTTCAATTATTTTTATAAATAAAAAAATTCTTTGCTGAATTTTTTTTTAAATTTTTATAAAATTCTTGCCAAAATTCCAATTATGTATTTTCATAAATAATAAAATTCTTCGCAGAAATTCGATTGTTTTCAAAACTTTTTAAAAATCCTCGTCATGATTTCAATTATCTTTATAAATAACAAAATTTTTCGACGAAATTTTTTTAAAATTTTAATAAAATTCTTGACAAAATTTTAATTATTTTCATAAATAATAAAATTCTTGACAAAATTTCAATTATTTTCATAAATAATAAAATTCTTTTTAGAAATTCAAATATTTTCTTAAATAATAAAAATCATCACAAAATATCAATTATTTTTAATACAATTTTAATCTATTTCCTTGAAAAATGTTTTCCCTTCTTTTAATTTAACAAAAGTTTTAAATTGTTATAAAAAATATTTTGAATCGAAAAGAATTAATTTTGTGTATAAAAAATATTTTGAATCGAAAAGAATTAATTTTTTGTATAAAAAATGTTTTCAATCGAAAAGAATTAATTTTTTATATAAAAAATATTTTGAAATGAAAAGAATTAATTTTTTGTATAAAAAATGTTTTGAATACTTTTTTCTGTAAAAAAAAAAATGTTCCTGAACGTAAAATATTATTGTTTTTGACAGGGAAACTATATTTTTTTCAATTGTTGATTATGTATTTTTCCGTCGTAAAAAATTATGTAGCAATGTTTGACTATAACGAGAGAATATTTTTTTTTTTCATACAGCGAGTGATAGGAGAACAATAATAATAATAATACCTAATAAAAAAAAATATTTCGCAATGAACGACTATATATACAACTTCCACTGATTTGTCTCGAGAGTAAAAAAATATTGTAAAAATATATTGAATATTGAAAATTTTTGAAATAAATGTGAAACATACCTTTTATCAGTGGCTGATAGTGTCCTTGCGACTCTGTTTTTGTCAGGGTAATAACGATGATTGCACAATATCACAGACTTTTATCACAGCACAATATTTAAAGTTATCGACACAATATGGGTGGGCAGTGTTTTGAAAAATAAAAAAAATCTGTTCAACTTTGGAAAGAAGTATGTATGAGGTTTTCTCCCCAGCACCTGCTGCCGGACTTATAACAATAATAATGTATGCATGTATACACAGGCGACCCTGGAATACCTGTGTCTCGAGAGTCCTGGCCGCTTTTGCTGGCTTTTGCCACGACGAGTTGGGTGTCGAATCTCTTGTATTTTCTCTTTACTTTTTTATTTTCTTCCTCTGTACCTGTACCTTCTCTCCCTCTCTTATTTAGTCTCTCGATCGTCTTTGCGACACCCCTACGCCTTCAGGATACTAAAGTAGACATTTAATTGTAGCCTCTGAAATTTACGGACATCCCTGACACACGCCTTTTTCGAAAATTTCTCTGTGCTTAATTTTCTATTTCTTTATTTTTTATTTTTTATTTGTCTTTTTAGTTTTGTATTTTTATTATTATTTTGTATTCGTATTTTGTATTCCTATTTTGACTTCATATATTTTGTATTCGTATTTTGTATTCGTCTTTTTAGTTTTGTATTTTGTATTCGTATTCTGTATTCGTATTTTGTATTCGTATTTTGTATTCGTATTCTGTATTCGTATATTTTGTATTCGTATTTTGTATTCGTATTTCGTATTCGTATTATGTATTCGTTTTTTTATTCTTATTTTGTATTCGTATTTTGTATTCGTATTTTATATTCGTATTTTTTATTTCTGTAAATTATTTCAGTTTAATTTTCATTCCCTTTTAATCAATTTCATACCAGTTTATCTTTTTCTTTGCGACTCTTTCATTCAATTATTCACTCGTTCATTTATTTTTCACTCAAGTTTTTTAAAAGTCCTTTTAACTTTTATTTCTTATTTATGTACTTAACAGAATTTTCAATTTCTTTCTCCACTTTTTTTCTTTTTGTAAATATAAATAAGTTTTTTTTTCTATTTCCGTATTTTCAGGAATTTCTTTATTATTCTCTTTTACGATACTATAATATGTTCGCTTATCTCTATTTACTTTTTACAAAAGCTTCTTGTTTATTCATACAATTTTCACTTTATTCTAGAAAATTTCTTTAAAAATTATTTCTTATATGCTTAAAATGTATATACCTGCTTTTAATATATTTCTACCATATTTTATTTCTACCAAATTTTATTTCTACCATATTAACAAAAATGTTAATTCTTTTCAAAAATTATGTTTCTTTTTCAGTTTAAACTTTAAACAGATTCCTCTTCCTTTTGACTCATTCAATTCTATACTTCTTATTCATTTTGTAATTTTTATTCACTTCTTAAGAATACATATAACTTGCACGTGAGACTTTTAATTCGTATTTGCCTTACAAGTCCTTCTTTTTTGAGAAAAAAAAAATATTTACGACTCTCATTTCTTTTCTTAGCAAGAGGTGAATGTGGAAGGAGATTTTAAGAATGGATCGAACTTTGTGGCAGGAATGTCCGTTTTATGTTGAAGTTTATAGAGGATTTTTTAAACACAAAACTTTGGTTATACTGTATATTGTAAAAGAAAACTGGAAAAAAAAACTTTTCTAATTATTGGAAATGAATCATTTGTGCGGCTATTATCAGAGGAAAAAGTAATTAATGAAATAAATAAAATTAATAAAATTAATAAAATTAAAAATAATAAAACTAAATAATTTTTACTAAAATCATGATAATTTATCGATACGAATAAAGATTTTCAAAAATTTTAAATTCGTTACCCTTTTGACATTCAACAACTTATAAGGATATTATTATAAAAACTTGAAGATATCGATTCAAAATTCAATGATTTCTATAAAAATCTATACTATAATGTTTACAATTTTCAAATATTTAAAATTTTAACAGAAATTCGAATTTAAATAAACTTTTATTAGAAAATTCTACGAGAATTCAATTATTTAAATACAAAAATAATTAATTTATTTGAATAATTGAATGTTTCTTAAAATTGAATTTTCATAAAGAATTTTATAGACAAATTTTTAAATAAATTGAATTCTTTTGACGAATTTTAATAACATTTTTAAGAATAATTCCCTTTTTCGAGAAATTTGATTAAAATTGTATTAAAAATAATTGAAATTCTGCGATGAGTTTTATTATTTACGAAAATAATTAAGTTTCTAAGAAGAATTTTATTATTTATGAAAATAATTGAAATTTTGTCAAGAATTTTATTAAAATTTTGAAACAATTTCGGTGAAGAATTTTGTTATTTATAAAGATAATTGAAATCATGACGAGAATTTTTTAAAAGTTTTGAAAATAATTAAATGTTCACGAAGAATTTTATTACTTTTGAAAATAATTGAATTCTTGTGATGAATATTTTTATTTATGAAAATAATTGAATTTTGTTAGCTAAAAGTAGGAAAATTTCAGATTTTCAAAGATTTTAATTTGAAACCTTTTCAAAATTCAATTATTTATAAAAATTCATTCTTTCTTTGCTTTTAATATTCAATTATCTAATATTTTAACTTAAATTCACATTTGCAAATCAATTTTTCTTAGAAAATCCTACAAAGAATTCAATTATTTAAAATTTAAATGCAATTCAAATTTATTTATTGAATAATTAAATGTTTTTTTAAATTTAATTCTCATAAAGAATTTTATCAACAAATTTTTAAATAATAAAGTTTTTCAGAATAATTACATTTTTCATGGAAATCCATTAAAATTGCATTAAAAATAATTGAAATTCTGCGATGACTTTTACTATTTATATGAAAATAATTGAATTTTTGTGAAGAAATTTATAACAAATTTGTAAATAATTAAATTCCTGAGGAATTTTTATTATTTATGAAAATAATTAAAAGTTTGCGTAGAATTTTATTAACATTTTTTTTAAATAATTGAAATCTTATGGTTAATTTTATTAAAATAGTAGATAATGAAAATCATTATTGAATTCAGGAAAATTTTTGAAAATAATTAAAATTTTCCCAAGAATTTTATTAACATTTTTAAAAATAATTGAAATTTTGACAAGAATTTTATTTATAAAAATAATTGAAATTTTGCCAAGAATTTTATTATTTATAAAAATAATTGAAATTTTGCCTAGAATTTTATTATTTATAAAAATAATTGAAATTTTGACAAGATTTTCTTTTTATTTTTGAACACAATTGAATTTTTGCTAAGAATTTTATTACTTTTGAAAATAATTGTATTTCTGTAATTATTTGTAAATTATCTAAAATTCAAGTTTTTTAATTGTTTTTAAGTAAATTCTATATATTTTGAAATATTGAAGTGCAATTTTTCATTAAATATAATTTATAATAATAATTTTATGATACTTCTTCAAGAATTGAATTATTCAAAAAGAAATTGTTGTCGAAAATAGAAAAAACTGAACGGTTTGTATTAGAGTTCGTGATAATTTTATAGTTTTAGGTAAATGAGAAAGACACAAAAATTCATAATTTTCGTTTGAATTCTAAAAATTTAATTTTCTTGAATATACTTTTAATAAAAATCCCCGAATTTTTCTCGATTCCCCTGACCAATTCTACTTTCCCTGACTTCCCTGACCTGTGGCAACCCCATGAAACTTTGTAAATTCAATAGAAAAAGTAGCTAAATTTTTTCAAAGTGAAAAATTGAATCGCAAATGAATTTCCAATATAGTAGCATGTAAACGATTTTCCAAACTAAATGAAAAACTGGTTACAAAGGAAATTCACTAACAGTGTTGTATAATTTTACTTTTCAATGAAAGCCAATAACAATTTCGAGGACGAATTTTTCCAAATCTTATGATTCAAATCCAACAAAAACTAATGAAATTATTGCCCTTTATTAAAAAACTTAATAAATCCAAATTTAGAAAAACGTATTTTCAGAATGCATTAATTTTATCAAATTATATACAGAATTTCTAAAACACTGATAATTCTAATTCTTTCAAGAAAGAAAAAGCAGTTGTTGTGTTCGAAAACCGGTTTTTATCCCAAATCAACGGAAAAAGAGAGTGGGTTCCAGATGTACGTGGCTCTATTTTTTTTTTTTTTTTTCCCTCTTTTTCTGACTTTGACTAGTCAAGAAATTCCACCGAAATGACGCGGAGTGCACGTGATTCTCTTCCTGAATAAGTTCCTTTTCTCTTTTTTAGTCACTAAAGAAGACGAGCTAAACAAGCAAACCTTCCGATCTTTCGTCTCGTACGTGCAAAATGCACTTGTTTGATAAGATGCCACTCGGGTCTATTAGTGAAGAGGGACACGTGTTCAAAGTTATACCTGCTCTCAACCGCTTGGACTCTCTTCTCTTTTCAAAAAAGACTTTAACCCCACAATAAACTCAGCTGACCTCAAAATATTTTTGCCTTCATAATTTTTCTTTTCCACAATTTACTGGATTTCGTATTTTTTTTTTTTAGTGATTTTCTTTCTTTTTAGTGATTTCTCTTTGAAAAATTTTCTTTTAAACTCAACTGAACACTCAGCTTCCACAATTTTTTCTCATTAAGCTTATTTAGACTTTTGTATTATTAGTCATTTGCAGCATTTCCAACAGTTCCAACAGTTACAACAGTTCCAACAATTTTCCATTTTTCGGTTCATCATTAGCATCAAATCTTCAGTCTCAGAGATTTTTCTTTCGAATTTTTATACATATAAAAAACTTGGGTTCAACACTCGATTTTTCGTTTCAAAACGGAAAATACTCATAAATACAAATTTATAAGAAACAAAAGTGGAGCAGTTAGAATAATACTGTCAAACCTATCCAACACTCCTCCATGACCCGGTATTAAGTGACCACTATCTTTAACCTTAAATTTCCGCTTGAAATATGAAATGAACAAATCACTCAACTGTCCGATTAAAGCCATTACACAACCAAACAAAAACAAATAAACCTTGTTTGAAAAATAGTAACTTTCGATTTGAAAATTTGGTGATAAGCTAATTAATACTGCAACTAAACTTGAGGCTAATACTCCACTGATGAGACCGCTCCAAGTTTTCCTAGGACTGATTTTTGGAGCAAGTTTTAATCCTTTAAATACTTTACCGCCAATCATTGCAAAACCATCAGCGGACCAAATGATTCCAAAATAGAGCATAATCAGCCAGTTTTTCGTATCGTCTGTACTTAACAATATCAGCAGACTTATGGGGACGGGAATAATAATTAGTCCCAGTAATGAATGCAAAGAAGAAGAATGTGTCATGTTATACCATTCGGTTAACATTCCGATGGCCACTAAAATCATTAGAAGGTGGAAAAGAGGCTTCAACCATAGTATACCGACGACAAATAATTTTACCAAAACTAAGCCTGAGAGTATTCTTATTTTTAATTTTCGAATATCTTCCCCTAAATGTTCTTCTACTATCCTAGCAATCATTTATATCTGATTTGCATTTTTGCAATTTCTATTTGTTATTCCAGTTTTTTTCTAACTATCCTAACAATCCTAATAATCATTTACAGATCATTTTTACATCTGCAAGGGCAATAATTTCTATTTGTTATTCTAGTTTTTTTCCGATAAATACCGAACAATATTCCTAATTCTAATTGAAGTTGGAGTTATTTAATTTATGAATTTAATCCATTCGAATTTCTTCACAATTTTAATAATTTCAATAGTGGATTAAAAAAGGTCTAAGAACTGGTATTTAAAAGTAAAAAACCTCCACCTCTTTCCCGGGTAAATATTCCACAACATATATATGCACTTTTTTCACAACAAATTTTTAACAAATAAATTTGTTTAGAAAATTTTGCTTACACTCACTTCACATGGAAAAAAATAATTTATTTTCACTAGACCGCCACGTTGAAAGGTCGTAGCGAGTTTCTTTTTTTTCCTCTTTTTTTTTTAAAAACAGTTGATAACACAGACCTTCCTCTCTCACGAACAACCGAACACTACACTGCCAGAGACGGTAGAACATTTTCGTCACAGGAGTTGTCTGTGAACTCACTCGTTTTAAGAGTTCGACTCGAGCCGAACAATTCCGAGTGCAAACGAAGTTTAGCTTTAATGCCACGTGAAGCTGCGCTCTACATCATTCGGCTCTCGACATTTGGTCGAGGCGGATGGTTCTTAATTTTATGGAAAACTTATCTTTGTTATACTGAATTCTATTCTTTTGATTTTGAATCATAGTTGAAAATCATAAATTTTAACTGTAAAATTAGTGGTCAATAATAGTGACTAATATAATATTTTTCAGACTATTTTTGCTTATGAATAGAGTTAAAAATAACTAATTTTCAATAAACAAAAAATTAACTAATTTTTCAGTAAAAAATAACTGATTCTCAGTGAAAAAAAATAAATTTTTAAAATAACTAATATTCAGTAAAAAAAAATAACTGATTTTCAGTGAAAAAAATAACTGAAAAATTATGAAAGCTTCTAAATCAGTCAATTTTGATTCAAATTGAGAGTTTTCTAAACTGAAAATTTAATATTAATTAATATTGATAATAAATGAAATATCAATATTTTATAAATAAAAATATACAGTAAAAAGAAATGACAATAAAAAGAAAATCTAATTTTAAAACAGAAGAAAAGACTTAAATTGAGATGCAAAATTTTGAAGACAGTCATTGCTGAATTTTGGTAGATTTTGCATGAGGGCAAGAAGTGCTGAATCTTAAATTACCAGGGTGGCCACATTTTTTAGAATAAAATGAAAATTATTTCGATTTTTATCTTGCAAGAAATAAAAAATAAACCAATCTTTCAAAAATTATTTTTGTAAAATTTTTCTAATTAAATTTTCAAAATATAGAAATAAAAAAAAATTTGAATATTAGAAATTTGGTAAAATTTAATTGAAAATAATTTTTTTTTACAGTATTTTGTTACAATTTTTGAAAATCAACTTTTATAGAATTTTAATTGCAAACTTTAAAAATAATTAAATTTCCAAAAATTTTAATGAAAAATCTTTTAGGATTTAACTTTAAAAAGAAAAATTACAGAAAATTAGCTACTAATTTTTTAAAATTCAATATTTTCCGTATTTTTAATTAGATGTTTGGAAAAATCCAAATACATACAAAAAATAATAACATTTTACAACTTTTTAAAAGAAGAAAAAATTTTTTGTCCGGGAAATTAAGAAAATTGAAACATTTCTCGACTTATTTTCAAAAATTGGGACTTTTTTTTTTATTTTTCTCACAAATATTGCAAGAAAATATCACAGTTTTTAGTATAAAATGAAAATTATTTCGATTTTTATCTTGCGAAAAATATCTATAAACAAATCTTTCAAAAAATTATTTTTGTAAAATTTTCCGAATTAAATTTTCAAAATATAGAAATAAATAGAATTTGAATATTTGAAATTTTGTAAAATTTAATTGAAAATGATTTTTTTCCCAAGTATTTTCTCTTACAATTTATGAAAATCAACATTTTAAAGAATTTTTATTGCAAAATTTTTAAAAATAATTGTATTATAAAAAATTTTAATGAAAAATCTGTTAAATATAAATTTTAAAATAAAAATTACAGAAAATCAGCTACTATTTTTTTTTAAATTTCAATATTTTCAGTATTTTAAATTATAGGATATTTTTGAAAATTCAAAAACGTACAAAAAAAATAACATTTTATAATTATTTTTAAAATTTTGGTCAAAAAAATCATATTCATATTTATAACTAATATTCTTAAAAAATTTAATTGTTTTTTTTTGTATATTTTTCAAAAATTCAATTATTTTTAAAAGATTTTACCAAATTCGAATTGCTTGGAAATTTTTCAGTTGTGTAGAATAAAAAAATATTATCCTTAAAAAATTATTCAAAAATATTTTTAAAAAATTAGTTGTAAGAATTTCTTTATTATAAGAATTTGAAAATAAATTAAAACAACGAAAAATTAAAAAAAAACTATGACAATTGTTTCGTGAAAAATTAAAAATTCTTTATTATTTATTTTTTGAAAATATTTTCAGTAAACTTTTATGTTTCTCTGTAAAATGAGATTTGTCAGGAAAAATAATTTTACTGTCAGTAAAGTGTCAGGGAAATTGAAAAACTCTGAAAATTGTGACCACCCTGATTACGATTTTCTTTTTATTTTGATCTTTTTATTATTTGTGAACATGATTCATGTTTAGCTCAATATTCTCCAAGTCAAAATAGAATTTGGGTCAGAATAATTAAGTGAGATTTATGCGTTAAACGTTTAATATCAATTTTTATGTCCAGTAGAACATTTCATTTTTAATAAATTCATTAAAATTAAAACAATAAATTCTCGAAACTAATTTTAAAAAATTGAAGCAATTCGCAATTTTGTCAAATTTAATCGAAATTTTATATTTGAAAGAATTTTATTTAAAATATATTATTTTATTTAAAATATATACCTTTAAAACTTATTTTGGAAAATAATCGTATTTGTGAAAAATTCTAATTGAAAATTTTGAAAATAATTGTACAAAAATATAGAATTGAAGTTATTAACAGCTAACAGTTTTTCTAAGGATATCAAATTGAGACAAACAGTGAAGGAAAAAAGTGCCATTGTCAGTTTAAAGTTCATAATAATAAAAGTTACTCTATTTTTTTTCGAGCGCATATGTTATTCACTAAAATAAACTTGTTCTAATGAAATGCAATTATAAAATTAGAATTATGGAAAAGTTTAAAACAAAAAAGAAATAAAATAAAAATAAAAAGTATAAAAATAAAAAAAATAAATATAAAAAAAATAAATATAAAGAAAATGAAAAAAAAATAAAATGAAATTATATACATTTGTAATTTAATTACCCAAAAAAGGACAATTTAATTATATTATTTCAAAAAGCAGTCGAACATTTTTATACTTTTAATTACGACCCGAGTGCCTTGAGAATTTATAAGGCCATACATTGATGGCATATTATTTACGACTTTTTTTTCGTCAAATTAAAAATAAATGTTCTCGAGAGAGGGAGTAAAATCATCAACGAGAGTTTCCGAGACGATTTTAATAATATATAATTAGAAATACCCACAACTAATTTTAAACAAGCTGAATGTCTTATTATCAGAACTGTATAATTATACATCTAATTAGTCTTTGCGTTGCACGATTGTTACGTGTTTATCTGCATCATAAGTTGGAATCAAATACAGCGGGAAAAGACAAAGTCAAGGTCTTCAACTTTACTGTTTATGTCAGATGCTGATTATCTCCCTTTAGTGATATATATAGTGCTTTAGAAACAGGTTCTTTATTAACTACAATTTTCATTGTCAAGGCAAAGCATGCAATGATAAATAATTTTTACATTATTTCATCAAAGGCTTTTTGGTAATTCTGAATTTTTTTTTTTTGTATATCCGGTAATTTAGAACACAGGCTTTGCACTCATCTACTAAAACCTACTATATTTACTACTTTTATTTACAATTTACTTACTATTTGGATATTTTTTTAAATTTGTGACACTAAAAGCTATACTTTTTCCTATTTTTGAGAATTTTCACAAGTTTAAATTCGATAATAGTTGGAATAAAGAAATTATTCTTGAAAATTATAATAAAATTCTTCTTAGAAACAATTAGAGAATTTTTTATAAAATTCTTTGACACAATTCAATTATTTGAAAAATTTTTCAAAAATCTTTTGCGAGAATTCAGTTATTTTCACAAATATTTTAATCAAATTCTTTAGAAAGAAATTAATTATTTTCTAAAAATTTGTTTATACGAATTAAATTATTTTTATAAATAATAAAATTCATCGCAAGAATTAATTATTAATACAATTCTAATAAAATTTCTCGAAAGAATTCAATTTATTTTCGTAAATAATAAAATTCTTCTCAGAAATTCAATTATTTTCAAAAATTTTAATAAAATTCGTTTCAAAAATCCAATTACTTTCAAAAATTTTTTATAACATTCGTCCAAGAATTCAATTATTTTAATAAATAATAAAATTCTTCTCAGAAATTCAATTATTTTCGTAAATAATAAAATTCTTCTCAGAAATTCAATTACTTTAAAAAATTTTAATAAAATTCGTTCATGAATTCAATTATTTCAATAAATAATAAAATTCTTCTCAGAAATTCAATTATTTTCAAAAATTTTAATAAAATTCGTTTCAAAAATTCAATTACTTTAAAAAATTTTAATAAAATTCGTTCAAGAATTCAATTATTTTAATAAATAATTTCCTCGAAAAATACAACTATTTTTAAAAAATTTTATAATATTATTCAAAAGAATTGAATTAGTTAACAAAATTTTATCAAAATTCTTTTAAACTATTCAATTATTTTCACATTTTTGAAATTCATTTATTTTTAATATCTACCAATTTTAATAAAAAATTTCCGAAAAGAATAATTAATAATTTGAAAAAAATTTCTATTCACATTTTTGCAAATATTCAATTATTTTCATAAATAATTTAATTTTCACTATAATTTAATTATTTGAAGCACAACTTAGATCAAATTTTTCAAAAAAAAAACAATTATTTAAAAAGTCTTTTCTAAAATTCTTAGCAAGAATTCAATTATTTTCAATAATTTAAATAACATTTGTTACAAGACTTGAATTATTTTCAAAAAAAAATAATAAAATATTGTTCTCAAGGATTCAATTATTTTTAAAAATTTTAATGAAATTCGTTGTAAGAATTCAATTATTTTTATAAATAATAAAATAATTGTTCTCAAGGATTCAATTTTTTTTGAAAATTCCAATGAAATTCGTTGTAAGAATTCAATTATTTTTATAAATAATAAAATTGTTCTCAAGGATTCAATTATTTTTGAAAATTTTAATAAAATTCGTAGTAAGAATTTAATTATTTTTATTTTTGTAAATATTAAAATTTATCGCAGAATATTAATTATTTTTAATAGAATTTTTTAATAAATCCCTCAAAAAATACAGTTATTTTTTCAAAATTTTA